AAGACTGGTGGCTGATCCCAATGTTGGGGTCCGAGAGCTGCAAGCAGTCTTTGTCAACTTCTTGAAGACACAGCCCACAAAAGATTTGTTGGCTGTGTTGGGGCCCTCCAAGTCTTGCAAGAGAGTTGACTGGAAGAGTGCACCTCTTGCTGAAGGAGATGATCCATGTGCAAAGGAGATAAGTCAAAGAACGATGAAACTGCACATAAATGCAACAAAAATGTTGCAAATCAAATACAAAAATACAAAATTCACAATGATAGTCATCAAAACATACCTAAAATCAATGAACTGGAGTGTAAGTTTGGTGTAAGTTTGATGTAAACTTACACTAAAACTTACACTCCATAGTGTAAGTTTAGTGTAGGTTTGGTGCAAACTTACACTGAAACTATCTATTGCAACAGCTTATGATGAACAATCTATTGATTTACTCCCTGGGTTTGGAAAGCCCAGGCTTTTGTCTTGGAAGGAAGGTTCCAAAAAAGGTTGAGATAAAGCATTCACCAAAAATGCGCAAAGTCTATGGAGGTAAAGAATTAAATCCAGATTCACTTGGAAGATTCACATTGCGATGTTTAATGAGAGTTTCATTTGAGTTTTAAGGATCACTTGATATTCCAACACCTTCTTTGGTGATTGAAAAAAGGAATGTGACAAACACATTGGCACTGTGCAAACGCAAGGTTTCTTTTTGCATATGTTCACTTTTGGACTTTTGGAAGATGTTCATGTGCGTTAATTTTCAGCACTGCTTCCAGCACATGGTTCTTTCCAATGTCACATGACAATGCCACAATGTGTGTCGCATTTCGTCACTATGAACCTTTCAAATGTCTACAAGGTTCAATGCCTGGCTTGAAGCCAGCCTTTGAACCTGAAAGTTTTTTGTCCCCTCCACCAGCTCGACTGACTTCTAGGTTTTTGCCTCAGAGCCCTTTGTCTGCAGCCATGGCAAAGGATGATCCATTTGGGAAGACAATCATTCAAGATTCACTTTGACATTAGGCTCACCTTCTATCTACACAGGCTCACTTTGGCATGGGCTTCAGTTTTCCTTCTGTAGACTAGAAGAATCATTTTCAGAACAGAGAATAGTAGCCAAACAATTGTACAAGAACAAAAATGTTGTTACATTTTTTGCTTGACATTTGTTTTGCCAAAACTTTTTATGTGCTTACTAGGTGTACTTTTCAGGTTGTTCCATTAAACAAACTAATAGTCAGAAAGAGCTATAAACCTATTAGTCAAAACACGTTTAAACTATTTAGTCTGTTTTCTTACCAAATAGTCTATACAACCTAATAGTTAGAAATCTGGCTAACCGAAGCTATTGGGTACTACGACTACTACGACTACGACTACGAGTACTACTACTGCTTCTCCGCCTACTACTACCACTACCACTACCACTACCACTACCACTACTACTACTACTACTGCTACTGCTACTGCTACTGCTGCTTCTGCTCCTGCTTCTGTTTCTACTACTTCTTCTTCAACTACTACTACTACTACTACTACTACTACTTCCACTTCAACTACTACTACTTCTACTTCAACTACCACTACTGCTTTAGCGGGAAATACATTTTATATATGTATTTAGGAATTTTTATATTATTATTTGATCTCCAGGAGAAGACAGAAAAGAAAGCTGGGGAGAAGAAGAAAGGGCTGGCCCGCTTTGCGCGAAGCGATGAGAAGGATATGGCTGCTGCAGAGCAGAAAGTTCAAAAGGCTCAATTGAACAGTGCCGCCGTTAATTTCACACTTCGGTGTTTGCTTGAACAGTCGGAGCTACTTGAGAGCACTAAAGTCACTAAACAAAGACTAAAGCAGATAAGCCTCAGATGTGCACACAGGAGCAGTTAAAAGATGCCACAATGCCAGGCGGCGACAGTGCAAACAGCCTCAATTGAAGAGCTTGCCATGCGTGCTACACTCAATCTCAATTGATCATAGACATAGACTGCAGATTGGTGCACTCCTACAGTTGGCTTGGAAGTCGCTACCCCGCAACACCAATGCGTTCAATCAATCCAAGTTATTCCCCAGATTTGATGAGTTGTGAAATTGCAGCGAGTACGAACGCCATATCCGTGTTTTTGGTCCTTGCGAGGCACTGAAGACGCCAACGAAGCTCGGGTGCTGCGAGAAAAGGCCTCCAAAGACGTGAGCCTTCTCCAGTCATGCATTGACTTCGTGCGGAGCAGGCAGGGGGTCGCTGGAGTAGTTGCAACAAGTTCCTAGTAAAATCAAATGTCCTAGGCCCTGGTCACTGGACTTAAATCACATACAGTAAGTTGATTGTATATTGACTATGCTTCTTACACTCACTACTACTTGCGGGTTTGGCACTGTACCTAGATGTGAACCGCATCTCAGGCTGCTGGCCCGATGTTTGAAGAGTAGCGCTGGGGCATGGGCAGAGGCTGCGAAGGAGCTGCAACGTGGCGCTGAACAACTTCGGCTCCAGGCAAGGTCAGATGGCAGGGCTTTGTGTGTGTGTCGCCTCCTGTCCCAAAGGACAACGACCACAACCTTCTAAATTAGATTTCCCTATTTAACTTTTGTACAGAGCTGCGGGGGACACAGCATTTCACTGGGACTGTGTCCGATGAAGCTACCAGTGAAACGGGATATGCAGCTTGGCCAGCTGGACGTACATGCATCAAGTGTTTCTGCCAGTAACTAGAATGTAAAGGGCTAGCGCAGTAACTAGATTGTAGAGGGCTAGTGCGCAAGTAAAGTGCTAATGAGTGAGTGAATCCACACACCGAGTGACGTGGAGACCGAACCCATTCATGTCCACCAAGAGTGTGCAGGGAACCCATACACACCTAGTGGACGTGGAGATGGAACCCATTCATTTCACCCAAGATGTTCACCACCCCTTGTTGCAAGCTAGAACTCTAAGTAAAACTCAAGCTTCCTCATGCGTTGTTTCGCTGTAACTCAGTCCAGGTCTACCTGCAGTAAAAACTTACAACAACGTAAAACCCAAGCTGTTTGTTTCATGCGGTGTTTGGTTGTAATTCAGTTAAGTCGCAACAGGGTCCCACTTGTGTGACCCCAGGTTTGGGCGCGTTTAGCACAGTCCCTTGTGTAAATTTCACCCTGAGTAATTCATGCACGGTCTTGCTTTCTCTCCTTCCAGGGTCCTTTCAGTTCTTTCTAGGTTTTCGTCCGTTGCTAGCTGCTTTTTGAGGTTTCAGGTTAATTTTTTCGTCAAGTGCTAAGTATTCACTTGCAAGTTACACCCTGCGTAAATCATGTTCGTTTTATCTCGTTTTGCTTTCTCTCTTTCCAGGGCTCTTTCCTTTGTTTGCAGGTGTTCGTTCTTTGCTAGAGGCTTTTTAGGTGTCAGGTGAACTTTTTCAGTCAAGGGAGCGCCGATTCGGCTACATGTGTGCCATGGCCTTCTAAATTAGGTTGCCAGACCTGCAGGGCGACACAGCATTTCACTGGGACTGTGTCCAATGAAGCTACCAGTGAAATTGGGATATCCAGCTTGGCCAGCTGGACGTACCTGCATCAAGTTTTAACATGTTGCAACATGTTTCAAAGGAGTCTACGTAATGCTCAAGTTGTCCAATTCGGTGTTTCTGGCAGTAACTCGAGTGTAAAGAGGGCCAATGCAGTAACTGGATTGTAGAGGGCTAGTGCGCAACTACAGTGCCAATGAGTCCTTGTTGCAAGCTAGAACTCTAAGTAAAACTCCAGTTGCCTCATGCATTGTTTTTTGTAATTCAGTTAAGCTCTAAATTGCATTTCAAAATTGATAGAGCTCTGTCGAACATGGGTCGAAGTGTGTCGACCTAGTGTGTGTGTGTGTGTTTTAGTTGAGATTGCGGCAAAATGCCTTTCGTGGTGAGTGCCACAAGTCACTACAGTCGCAGCACCACACTGTGCCATTTGTTTCTGTGTTTGGTAACTTGGGGGCTGTGCATTTTGCATCATGAGGAACCCAAGTGTTGGTTTGCAGGTCTCTAAGCTGCGACTCTCTGTGGAGCACTCAGAAGGAGGTCGGGGCATTCCAGAATTGCCGGCCTGGGCATTGGAGACTTTGAAGTTATCAAGGATACTTTGCAGCTTTTAATGGTTTCAAATTGATGCTTGCATTTGGCGCAGCACATGGTCAACGTGAGAAACAGCGGCAAGTTTCGACATGTTTTGTGAGGATGCGCCCATTCAGCCTCTCTGAACTCAATTTGGATGATGATAGCATAGACTTAGAGGAGAACCCGACTCTTTGCAACTGTGGCTGGGAGAAATGTCCCTTTTCAGGACCATCCAGAGTCTCCGTTCACTGCTCCATCTACATCCTTGAGATCTCCTAAACCAGGCAGGGAGCAGGGCAATAAAGCCTTTCGATGCCTTCCCCTCTTCCCTCTCACTGCTGAGCTGATGCAGGTTCCCCACTCGTGCTGGGTGACAAAGGCACACCTAAGCTCAACGATCTCGGACGAGATTCATCACCACCGGCAGTCTTCACAGGCCATTCATCTCAGACCAGCGATCATGTAATTGTAGTGCGGATGTGACCCTATTGCGCCATGAACCATGCCTAAGAGAGACGGAGGATGAGAGCTATATACATAGAAGATCATAGAAGTAGCATGGGACATGAGAGCAAGGTTGAACAGATGATTTTGGGTCCCAAAAAAGCTACTGCTACGTCTCGACAGGTTGGCCTGTGCAGTCAGAGCCGCAAGTTTCCTCAACGCCTTTTGATTAGACGCAAAAGTGCCAACTAGCTCTGCGGGAAGAGGTTTGATAAGTTTGCAATTTCCAAGATACCAAGGTAATACCAAGCGTTTTTTTGTTTTCGGCTCATGCCCAGCTCTGTGCAAAGAACACAGGCTTGGGTCGGGCCAAGTAAGGATGAGTTGTTGTGATGCAGCGTCTCAAGCTTGCAACCTTGGCCGCCTCTATGACCATATGATCTACATATGAATATGGAATAGTAAATGGGTTTCAACCTTGGTCGCTAGCAGTTTGGAGGCCATCGCTATTAGGTTGTTTGCCGCCACAAGATTCGCCCTAGCAGCAGTGGATGGAGATGGTTGAGCCATCGGACGTTCATCCCAACCAGGCCCGCCGCGTTCTCCATGTCGCCGCTTGTTACCTCAGAAAGGATCCCATAGTCCAGGTACGCTTCATTGAGCGCGACCATACTTCGCGTCAAAGCACAGGACACAAAATGCGCTCAGCAATGGACATACTTTGCTTTGTTAAATTGAAAGCTATTGAGTTGTGATGGTGCTATCAGCTAGAGGAGCAGAGGACCAGCATGACCAGCTGCAGACTTGCAATGGATTGCAATGGCACATAAAGGTGCACAGGAATTTACAGTAGACACTGTTCCACAAATATTGTGGACTCACTAGGCTAGTTCCTCCGCGAATAGTGAAGGCTCACATCTGTCCATGGGCGGGTAATTCGTCTCGAGATCTTGAAGTGCATTTCGACTGCGCACGCTCCTACAAGCATGCGCAAACATACCGCTGTGAGAGAGTGCTTTCCTCGAGTGCGCTCTCGTTGTGGTGCCGTGCACCTTTATGAACTGGGTGGTCAGGTTTGCAGTCGACTTTTCGTGGCAGGTGCCCTAGATTGGAGTCGGAGCGGTTTTAGTTCGAGGTGCAGGTTTCGCGGCAAGCACAGTACTTTGCACTTCTTGGTGGTCTTTGGCGTGCCCCGGCGTGCCCTGATTCTGAAGCAGGTGCAGCGCTTTGTGAACCTCGACGCGCAGAATACCTAGCAGTTGCAGCAGTTTGCAAGCCTCAAAGTGCAGATGCCGTGGCACATGCACGGCTTTGTGAACGTCAAAGTGCAAAGAAAATCAAAGAAAAACGCACACATATATATATATTTATAAATATATATATAATATACTAAATATGCATATTGTATTATCTATGTGTGCTCCCACATGGTGCTCGTATGTGCACTTTGCCCTCTCATATATGACTCATATTTAATTTATGGTTTTCATACCTGTGCTCTCGTTGCGTCCCCTCGGAGTGTTTGACTTGTGTATGCTCTCATGTGTGTGCTCTAGAGTGCGGATGTTTGCTTATTCACCATTGTGTTCTTCTACTTCATGCTGTTTGGGGTCTCTTCCCGGGATAGTTCATCCCTCAAAGGACGCATCCTTTTGCGGCGGCTGCACGCACGAACTTCAGGGTTCGAGTCTTAGTGTGAGTTGAACGTTGCGGACCCTGGGCAAGCGTTGGCAACAAATGAGCAATGCCGCTGCAAGAGCTACAGTCGAGAGGTGTAGAGGGCCTGCTTGGTCGCAGGTGGTCATCGTTTTGGGCAGATCCTTTCCACTCGGCTCAGCTGGCTTGATTGTGGAACCGGACAGCGCTGTATGTTGCCCATGATGCTTGGACATAGCCAGCGACACTGCGACGGATAAGGGCAGCCACTTCACCCTGATGTAGTGCTGTTGTGAGCAGGTCATACACCACAGCACCATCAAGATCATCGCTTTCTTTTGTGCTACTGGGATGCACTGGGATGCGTGGGAGGAGGGGAGCGGTTTCTGCTCCAAGGCCAGTTACCTCTTCACTCATTTGGTGTTTTCACTGCCGTGCTCTCAAGCCTTGGACATGCTGTGTGATGCGCAGCGTTTGTACAAATGTTTGAGGATCTACTATATGATTGATGCTTCCTGCCAACTGCAGCAGCTTGCCACAAATCTGATCCATGTTTTCTAGATATCCAGAATGTCAGTTTGAGGATCGAGTCATTGCTTGATGCAATGTATTTGAGCCTGGAGGCAGCGTATTTTAAGTGCAGCAGTTTGCTCTTACAAAGATTGACAAATAAAGTCCGCGAAGTTCGTTCTAGCTGGCGCAGGTTGGCACGACCATTGGATGGGGGTTGCCTGGGTGTTGCCCTCTGACTTCCATAAGTGTTGAACGCAAGCAAGCTGGCAATTCCATGCAATTTCAGTCGCCACAGGGTGATCGCGCATTTGGACAATTTGAGTTTGTTATATTGCTACAGGGAAAGCAGTGCTTGTAGTTTCTTGCAACTGCATGAAACTCTTAAGTGAAATGTCCTGCACAAGGAGATCCAAATCGGCCGATAATTGGGAGTTGGCATATGCATACATAAGCCAGTTTATTGCACCACTTTCACGTCATGGCGATGGTCATGGAACAAAGGAAAGTCTGGAATTGTCAAAGGAAGTGAGAAAGTTCCGAGTCCGACTTTGGTTACCTTGCTAATTACAGTGGTTTCAGAGTAGATGGCACAATCCCCAAAAGGTGGGGAAAATGGACAGCTGTATTAAGGACATTTTGTGGTTTGCGCCATCTACTCCGAAACCACTATACGACTAGAATATTCTTGGATGAATAGGTGCGTGGCGCGATGTGCGTCAGGGAGACGCTAGAATAAAAAGAAGCAGTGAGTAAATGCGGCGTTTGCGTAGTTTGTGTCACTATCAGGGCTGTGTGGCTCAATTAAGAGAAGACCCTCCAGCAGTAGAGGTTTCTGAAAGCAGTTGCAGAAAAGGTCAGAAAAAAGAATATATTTCTAGAAAACTTGGTCCAGTAGCGATTGCGAGCGAAATGTGCACCACCATACCGCAAATCATTGCACAACACGACACTTCACCACATCACAATTCATCCCACATCACAACATCGCAATTCACCGCATCACACTCACCACATCTCAAATCACAGCTGACTTCACATTTCAGTCCATATTATCACCGGTATGTCTTACATGTGACGAGACGCCACGTCGTAAATCAAATCCACCAACCGGCCGCCACAGATTTCTTGGCACAAGTCAAGGTCATGCATTGGCACCCTTCCACACAATTTGTCTCTAATGCACTGGTCCTTTCGGGTTCTTTCGCTTGAGCGAATCAATGGTACTATCGATAGTTCTTTTGCGAGAGCCAGGCGGAGAAGGTTTGGCGGGATTTACAGCATCCCTATTGAAAGAGGGGCATGCACAACTGTGTCGAAAACTTGTCCTGGCTTTTGTTTCTTCCTGTCTTAGCTAAGCTATTAATATCTATTAATGTAATGTAGCGTCATATTATATATATAACACAATATGTTACAACAAACACATGATTTAGTAAAACATATATATATATATATTTGTGCATGTTCCTGGGCTAGACTATGATGATGGTGGTAAATGCACTCTCCAATTTCGTTACTTTGCTGTGTACGTTTGGTGAGGTGATTTTAACTTTGGACCGTGTCACGTGTTCTACATGCTTCTATGCTCAGTGCGAATCATTAGACCCCCTACTCTGAGCCAACCCAGGTCACCTTACCTCAAAGCTGCTGGGGCCAGGCCTGACAAATGGACACAGTCGTGAAGGGGTGTAGGTGGGTGATGCGCCAGGGGCGGATGTGTGACGGGTATTTTCATCATTTACTTGCATACGCTCGTGATGCAGGCACGGACATCTATGCACCATCAGCCAAACGTCCCGTAAATTTGAGATTCACTGTTTGACTCCTGATGAGTCCTTTCCATGTTCATTTGGCCTTGCGCGCATCGGTGCTGGGTGTTTTCAGATACAAAATGCCATCATGATCGGCCTCATGTTCTGCCGACTGTCTCGAGGGACCAGCCGAGCGAACCTTAGACATCTCGTCTTTGAGCAGTCGTTCCTGTGATGGCGGAGGATTTATAAACTGTCTGCCAATTACTGTAGATTTCTTCGGTTGCTCCACGTACAGCCACGCCCAGAGCTGTTCGGCTCAAAACAGCATGGCAACACTACTGCAATCAAAGTTGTAATCAATACTATACTGAGTGACGGGTCATTGCTTTGATTTCTCAACATCCCTAGGATGCACAGGGGTGACACATCAAATGATAGGCATGACAAGGCCAATCGCTCCCGATGATGAGGAGGAGCGCAGCTGGGTGCGTGATATGATTCCGAGAGTCAGTTGTATCGTGGAAGATGGAAACTGCAAGCTTGGTATTCATTTGTTATTCTGATTGCATTCCTGACACTTGCAAGGGGAACGAGCGGAAACCAAAACAGAGGGTTATCGGTTATAGATAGTTATAGTATATTATAGTACACACCTCAGAGAGGAGGCTCAGCACTAGAGTTGCAAACAACATAACTACAGCTTGGGTGATATCAAGAGTAAGACTTCACACGCTGTGTGTGTGTGTGCGCATCATGCTGGTGCATGCAGGTTTGACTATGTATTGTCCTGACGGATCGAGATGTAGTCGTTTAATCCATTCCTTTCATGGCAGTTCAGTTGCGTTGATTTAGGTGCGGGTCAGCACAGGGGCATGGCATATGATCAGGGACTATGTCCAACGGAGCTACCTGATTGTACACGATCGCCAGTGGGATATGTTTTGCAGACCCTGGGCTAGGCCAGGGGCTTAGGAGGTCCGGACCGCCTCAGAGAGAGTGTGTGTGCGTCAACATGTGTCAACCCCTGTCTCTAATTGTTTGTTCGCTCTTAATTTGTTTTCTGCCCTTCATGTAGGCGGGACCTGAGCACTCCTTGACAAACTCAGTGCAACGAAGCTATGGATTGAACACCAGTGTGTACTGTACCCACAAATGTTCATTTGATGGTGTTAACCTACTGTTTCAGACCTTAAGCCTTTCCTTTTGCACAGACCAATGCCTACGTGTAGTCCTACGTGTTTGTCGTTTAATGCGGTATCGTAAAGTGCTAATGCAGATCCTTACCTGAACTTGTGCGCATTTGAGTTCTATTCTAAGTGTGTGTCTGTGTGTTGTGCTTGTTTGTGCACCACCCAATATTCCATCACGCAGGGGGCTGGAGCCGCTGGGTGGGGGGTCTTTGGCCAACAAAGACCCCCCCGCCTTCGAAAGGGTTCACACAGCGCACCACAGTGGGAGGATACTGCGATACACATGTGACATATACAAAGCCTCAGACGGGGCCCAGCTCAAAAGTTTGCAATGAATGCTGAAAAACCTGAAACTATTTAAACTGATGTATATATAATTATATATATATAAGCCTGCACCGGTGAAACAGAAAGGTGAAACGGCTGATTTGCAAGTTTTTCGCTCGACCTGGATTTTGCCCATTGCATTCCCACTCAAGCCTCAAGCCTTCCCACCGCAAGTTTATTTTTCATGCATTTGTGTGCACAGTCTACTACAACTGAATCACGAAAGCGAGCTCAGAAGGAGCTCAGCGGAAGTTGTTGTTTACGAAATATGGTGAGGCTCAAAATTGAAAGGTTCGGTGAACTAATTGATTCTTTCAATTAAAGGGAGGGGTCAGCCGAGGGGGGGGGGGCCTCCCTTTTTATTGATTCTTTCGATAACCACCCCCCCCTCGCAAAGGAATTTATATTTCAATTGCAGATTGAAACGTCTAAGGGGGGGGGCGGCCCCCCCCCCTGTAAAGTGAATTGAAAGAATCTATTCGACTCCTCCCTCGTCCTTGTGAGAAAGCATACCAAATGCCTAGAAAAGACAATATGAAAGTCGATGTTTTTTTTAGTGTTCGGTTGACTCAGCCATCAACACTTTGCGCTCGTGGCACAAAAGCGTTGCGTTGCTGCCCTCCCTCCGCGTCCCCTTGATCCTTCCACACCCCTCGCTTTCGTCCCCACTGTCCTCAAGTATTTTTCCCAGAGGTCACTGGTGAATAGATCTTCGGAAGGTTTCATCCAAATTCAATTGAAGTTCAACTCGTCATGCAAATTTGGCGGCCTCACGTTTTCGTGTTGCTCCTTTCTTGCACAGATGACTCGATGGCTTTCGAGTTTCGGGCTACAGCATGTGTACAACCACTTATGGCCCACAGCCACAACACAAGTTTTGCTGATGGGTCAGGCAGTGAAGCGCCAGGTCGTCCTTCATGACCTGATGTTTGATATTAATTCACTCCGTGCACAGCGGCTTGCGGAGAACACGGTCGGCGACAACGTGGCTTGATTTTACTAAGACGCTACTCGTACCAACTTGTTAGAGCCTTAGCATTCACCCTTCCACTTTCACACCTTTTCTTCCAATCTTGCCTGTTTGAGCCTTTGTCTTTGCACGGGAGCACGGGACAAGGCTTTTGTTTGCGCCTTTGCGCCACCCTGCTCCGAAGCAGCCTCATTGAGTTAAGAAACATTTTTCGACTCTAAACCCTTCACTCACCCATTACCGTTCCAGCGGGCCGGAGCTGGGTGGGGGGCCTCCGGCCAACGAAGACGCCCCCCACCCAAGTGAAAACGTACATGCATTGCATGTTCACTATTCTATGTTAATTACCTGTGTCAACTAAATTGTTTTAGGCCTTTTCACCTTTGGGTCTATTGTAGAAAGTGCTAATGCAGTTCATTGCAAACTTCCGAGTTTTTGTCTCACGCGTGCGCCCGTGTTGCCAATGTTGTGGTGGAAGTGCCAACTGCGGGCAAGATATGCAAGATTATGCTGGTCTACTTCTGTTTTTGCGGCTGTGCTTTCTAGTCTAAGGGAACCTGGTCAAGGCTGAAGAATGGACAAAACAAAAACAACATAAGTCCAGTGAAAGCGGGAGCAACTGGACAGCAGATCGTGATACTAAGCAATTGTGTTTAATCCCGAGTACCTATTAATAAACACTCCCCAATTAAAAAAACACCACGTCCGAACCCCTAAATTCAGTTTATATTTGGTTTTAAATTACCGCCCTTTCAAACCGCTACTAAACTACCAACATGGTCGATTTTGGTGGTGGTTCTTTTTATTAGGTTCCCCAAAGCTCCACCATGACACGCCGCGCTTACACCAGCAGGCTTTCCTTCCCCCAATGGCACGGACTCACGCAAACGCACTTGCCACGCCACCGAGGTCATGCAACACTGCATGACACAGCGACATCACCTTTCGAAAGCTTTTAGCTGTTAGTCTACTGAAGAATCACTATTCTAATGAAGGTTTTTGTAGGGGAAAAGGAACCCTTCGATCTGGAGGTTTTTTGCATTTGTGATACGAGTTTAATAAAGGATTTTGTATAAAAATTCCTGGATTACTTTTTGATTTTGAAACTCTTTCCAGGTGACCCTATTTTGGAGCCCCCCGATTTCAGGGACCCCCTATTAGAAAGAATGCGACCGAGTCTTTTTAATAGGGGGGGGGCCGTGTTTATTAATTGGTGGACCGGATTAGTGACATCGAGCTAGCCGGATTAGGCCCAGAAAACCTTTAAGACCTAGCGAACCTTGATTAACCTTGGCTGAGATCGAAATACAGTTTGTGTGTCAATGGTTTTTTGTATTTGCATTTTTGTGGTTTTAGCCTGCGTCGCCTGCATGGTTTCGTGTTTTCGCCGTTTGCGTGGTGTTCATGATTGTCATGTTTGTTTCGTGTTCGTATTTTTGCTGTTTTCGCCGTGATTTGAGATTTCAGCGGTTTTGCGGCTTTGACCCGTTTCGTGGTTTGCCTTGTGCAAGACCCAGGGAATCGTGCACTACGGATTTTGTTCAAGGTGCTGCAATGTATTGCAGTGTGCCCAAATTCACAGCGCATTGCTGCCAGAACATCATGACATTGTGCAAAGGGGATTTCAACCAGCCCGCAACCCCTGTCTTATCCTTAGAGCCAAATCTGGAAACATATTGTTTAACAGAAAGATCAGAAAGCTGGTACCAAGCATTTGCACATGTTTGCCCATAAAATCAACAAGCCTGCAGCCTACTCGTACTTAGAAATAGAACCATGATACTTCAGCACCAAAGGAAAGACAAATTTCCAGTTTTCCCTTGGCAGATCCAACCCGGGTATTTTAGTGTTTGTCACATGGGTTTGCATTGTTGAAGTGAGGGGCATCATGTATTCATGAATTATCAACCTGCCTCGGTATGGCAGACAGCGTGTAAAATCGTTTGTGGCGTCATGCCCGATTGTAAACATGTCATTGAAGCTTGAAAAGCTAAGCCCTGCTTTGACCCTTTCTATTTTTGCGATATGTATGCCTCTTTTGACAGGAGTTGGCGAAGGAGCAAGGCACTGACGCCCTCAATTGAAATGGTGTCCAGTCCAGTGTGCCGTGCGCAGCGAGATTTGAACACTTGAACGCTTTCTTGATGCCTTGTACGATGCAAGTTGCATACTGCGCAGCCAAGTCAGAGAAACACACTCACTATCACTATAGCAAAAGATCCGAATTTGTTTGGCAATGTTGACTTGAAATGTGCAAAACAAGTGTGCAGACATGATCAGACATGGCCCGGCATGATGCGACGAGAAATGACACCGAAATATACGTACAATTAACATACGTGCAGATGTGCAAGACGAGATAGAGTGTGGCAGTTTCAAGGAAAATTCCTGAAAATACTACACATGAATCGCACGTGAAGGGAGACCGATGGCTGCCCCCGAGCTGCCCAGCGAGTATTTGCTGGGTTCTCCGAAGAGCTCCCGAAGCTCCTTATCGCCATCGCCTCGCTCGAGCTCGCCCCGAGCACATCGTTCATGGCGAGCGGCGGATGCGAAGGAGACTGAAACCTTATCCTTGGAGGACCGATTCATGAACAAGAACCAACAACTCATGAACGGCACGTGGACCTGACAAGAAACATCAGCGAGAAATTGTTCTTTATGTTTCATTTGATTGGCAGCCCTCGAATTGGGATGACATCAGAAACCAAGCAAAAAGGACACGCAGAAAACAACATATACGGTGCCGTACGACGATTAATTATCATTCAAGTAAAGTTTGTAGCAAACAGATGCAAAGAGTCCGCTGATTGCAATTCGAGGAACTCCGGACTCTCCTTCACTTAAAGGATGCCGCACTGAAGATGCTTCAGGAAGAAGTGACTGAACTCCAGGAAGTGTTGCCACACCAATTGCAGATGGAAGCTCACTTTCGACACCTGGCGCAGCTTGTGCAACCGGCGGAAGAAACTGAAGGGACCGAGTCCAAAGCCACACTGCTTGACAAAATTAGTGATTCAGTGAAAGAGGCGAAGACAGGTAAGTTGCACAGTATCCATGCGGGTTTCCATGGCTATCCTGAGTTTGAGAACGCGCCCGAGCTCCCATTCCCAGTGGACAAGTTTGGCGCAAGGAAACACGGCATAGGCCTACCCACACCAGAGCCGCCGCAGCAGAAGAGCTGCTGGTTGTATCAGTGATTCTGTATGATTTGTACCTGTATACGTACACACCATTTACCATTGTTCAAGCCAATTGGACCCAAGCAGCCAAGTACAAAGTGGGACCACATCAACTTGGAAAAAGAAGAACGATGCTGCACACGGGAGAATGAGGGTGACAGGCAAATGACGTGGAGAGAGGGGGTGGGCCGCATTGTAACTTGTGTTCAATAGTAGGAAACATGTTGCATGCAGAGAGCAACAATGGACTCTTTGTCAGGCTGCCTGCCAACCGCAGAAGAAGAAGCGCGCTGAGTGAGCGTGCCATCAAATTGTTTTAGTGGCGGTGATGAAAATGCGTCCAAGCTGGGAACTCCATGCAATGGCCTAAGATCTTGAGCTAGGGGGCTTGCCAGCAATGTCGAGATTGGAGTCAAAGGGAGGCCTCCTTATATTATTCTAGTTCGCGCTTCATTGGCAGTGCTTGAGCAAGCGAAGATTTGAACACAAATAATCTTGCGGATAACGTTTGCCCTGCACAGCTTGCAGCAGAAGCCAAGCGGAGCTGTTCATAACTGTGCAGCATGTGCAAACATTGAGAGAGGAGATGGCGCTTTGGGATCGTGCTGTGCTGCTGCTCATATTTGTGAACAATTTGGAGTTTGTAATGCTTTGAGGTGCCGCATCCTTGATTTTCACGGACAAAGCGGTCATCAGAGAGATGGATGATGGAAAGTTCTATTTCATGTTCCAGGCAGGTGCTCCAGATTGCTCAGTTCATAGGTTTGGGGACACAGGTGGCGTTCTACACACCGTTGCTGGGAGGTTGAAACAACAAGCACAGATTTCTTGTGCTGAATGGGCTGAATGCTTCATCAGCCCCCTGCAACACACCTCCTTTAGCAGGGTGTGTCAGCCCAGCAGCTTTGGCGTTGTTTGCGGAACCGATGCTGTGTTCCGAGGTGTGCGAGCAGAGGAAGCATCAACTTGTGGAGGTGATGCACGGTTGTCAGTGATGTTACAGCTTTATCAAACCGGCACTAGTAACCAGGGGGATGCCACTCGACAGTTTGGAAGATTGATTAGAGCGGCACATATTTGCAGAGAGAGAGAGGGAGAGATCCAAAGAACACACAGACGGACCCCATGACACGAGCTGCCAAGTCCTCAAGTCTTGAGGCTAAAGTTCGCTGCTATGCCCTCTCCACCACCTTGCTGGCACATACCCCAAATGGTGCCGCCAGCTGCAAGGGTTCTGAATCTTTACGACATGCTTCATGCTGTCCATTGCATGTGGGGCGCGGCTTCAGCGTGTGGATCGCTTTGCAATTCAAAAACATTTGCCTTCTCAGGAGGCTTGACAGTTTGATGCTGAATGGTGGCTCATGTGTGGACTCAACTCAATGCCAGCGATAACCTTAATGCATTCTGAATATCGTTTGTGAAATGCATGCTCAAAAACAATGATAGGGGCGTTATATTATACGGTGTTTATTACTATACTATATATATAACTAACTATGTATTTGTATCAGCCTTTGATCAAGACACTGCAGCTGCAGAGCCCAAATACAATGTGAGTTTACTCAGAAACTGACTGTTCCCATCGTGGCAAAAGCTTTCATGCCGACATGGAGCCTTGCGCTCTAGGCGCTGAACCTGCGCATGCATGTCTTTCTTCCTGTTCTTTTTTCTTGGCTTCTAATGGCGATGGCCTCCAACCTAGAAGCGATGCCCTCCAAGCATGATCACGCATGCTTCTTCAGAACAGTAGTCACTGAAGCTTTTTACGTGACAGTCTTCCAATTGTTCCGTCTCAAACGGGAGCAAGAGTGAGAAGACAGCAGATGAGATAGGGGTTCTTTACAACAGTGAGTTCAACATCCATTTGAGCAGTGTATGGCTATGGTCTAACTTGAGGAGAGAGTATCATCAGGCTTTGCAGCTTTCCACTTGCCCGAACTGAGCCGGTCCTTCCCTTCATCGTTGGTACCAGCTTCTTGTCTTACTTGGGTGAGACTTTGGAGAACTTGCTCTCTATGCCGTGGCAAGAAGATCCACCACTCAGCCGCAAAGAGCTTGTGATTCATGTCCCATTGACATGGCCACCCCATATCTTGCAAAACCTGCTATATATAAAGATAATAAAGGCTGAACTAACCAAAGGCTGATGAGCCGACCTGCTTCGCAGGGCGCTGAAGGGCCGTGATTTGTCAGAATCGGCTTGTGGCCCAGGTGGGTTTCCGGAAGCCGAGATCCCATGATAGGTCGGAATCCCTAGCCTGATTCTGTCTTGTTATATACTAATAGCTTCTTGTTACTAGTAGCAATGGCCTCCAACCTACTAGCGATGGCCTCCACCTAATAGCGTTTTGAGGGAATACTGCCGAAGTTGCAGCCTAAAGTTGCAGGCACAGTTTGAACAATTGCCACTCCAGGTGGCTGACAATCTCAGCTGCGGCCGCTTGGCGCAATTGCCCGTTTACGTGTGTTTGCACTTGACTGAGTAAAGACAAAGTGCAAAAGCCCACTCCTAGTCGTTCCTGAAGAATAATCGAACAATCTGACAATCTGAAGATGCATCAGCTTCGTGATTTGCCATGTTTTGGCTGAAAGGGAGTGGTGGTATCAATTAACTACTGTATATTAGTTATATATATATTATATAAGCGGTAACTAACTAGACCAGATGAAAGTGTGGTTTGGTTGCTCCTTTTTGCATTGCAAATCTGAGGTGACTTTCCACCGGTTTGCCAAGCATCGCTTGCGTGCAAAGGGCTCCCGTCAGGAACGTGCACTTCCATCATCTTCCATTCAAACTCCCTCCCACGATGAGCCAATGCCAAATATCAATCGATATAACACAGTATATCCATCTTCAGGGACTTGTTTTCATGCCGGGCACAATAGAAGATTTGACCCACATGTGACATGTGTTTTGGAGGATGCTCGTTGGAAGGACTTGATTGGCTGCATGCTAAGAGTATTGCTACGAGAGTTACCCGTCTTCCATGCACACTCAAGAATTCCTGCCAACTTAGGCAATCTGACGAATGTCGGGTCAGAGGGCAAGTCAAGGCAGTGACAAGGAGCACATGGAATTGTGCATCAGTCACGGCCATTGCCAGGTTACCACCAGGAGCAAAACAACTAAGTCCAGTGGCATCAGCTGGCTCCAGCACCACCTTTCCTTCGGCTCCATCAGCACATCGTGATGGATACGCTACTCGAGAGGAGAGCGTCTCCTGTATTGCATGATATTGCATGCCTAGCCCAAGGACATGCGAGTTTGCAAAGTCTCAGGCAGGATATATAGGAGTAGAAGCCTTGAACACTTCCTTTCGCAGAACGAAAGGAAGCCTTGAACTCTTATATAATATACACTGGCCAGACAAAAGTTGCGCTTCTTGAGACACAAACTCATGTCAACCCTTACCCCCTAGAATCCTACATTGAGATGGAACCGGAAACTTTGTTCGTTTTTTTTCCGGGAATTGTTTTCGTGTTTCTTTTTTTTCTGCTTTTGCTTTTGCTTTTTGCATTTGCTTTTGCTTCTGCGTTTGCTTTTTGCTTTTTGCTTCTGATATTGCTTTTGCTCTTGCTCTTGTCTTTGCTCCTGCTTCTGCTTCGGTTTTAGCAAGTGCTTTTGCAGTTGCTCTTGCTTCTGCTTTTGCAAGTGCCAAAAGGCAGCTTGAAGCGCCGCAAGTGCTGCTGCAAGTGGCCAGCTTTGTTTACTGCACTGCTTGCAGTAAAGAGCCTATGCTAGTGCATTCCTTTTGTGACCTTTTGTGAGCTACTCGAGGGTAAATTTTAGAGGAAGGACCCTCGTAAAATCTAGAGGAGGAAGGTGCTATTCCTTTTGTGAACCACCCGAGATTAAATTTACAGGAGGAAGGTGCCATTCCAACGGGAGCTTTGTGAGCCACCTGAGGGTAAAATGTAGAGAAGGAAGATGCCATTCCAACGGTGCTTGAGGCGCCCGAGAATATATTCACCTGAGGGCAAAATTTAAGAGGAGGAAAATGCCAGTCAAATGGCAGACACCGGAAGGTAAACTTAGACGGGGAGGAAGGTGCCATTCCAACGGTGCTTACCTTTTGCGAGCCACCTGAGAATTTAGAGGAGGAAGGTGCCAGTCCAACGGCGCATACCTTTTCTGAACCACCCGAGGGTATAGTTTAGGGGCGGAAGGTGCTATGCCAACGGTGCGTACCTTTTGTGAGCCTATTTAGGGCATTAGTATCAAAAAGAACAGTGTCAAAAATAAAAAGAACATGATCAGTAAAAAAGAACGGTATTAAACCACATACTCCTGACTAGGTCCCCTGGTCCTTTGGTTTGCTCCTTCCTTCGACCGAGCCCCTTGGTCTCCTAGTCCGCTGGTCTTATGGTCCTTCAGTCTTGGTAGCTCCCTAGTAGAGACGTTGCTTCCGAGCGGGGCGCTAGCTTGATGGTAGGGTATTTCCAAGTAGGGGGATAGCACTGTCTATACTTGATTTGCATTGCGGGAGGCGCTGCGCCCTCCCCCGCACCCCGTCCCGATTTTTTATAGTTGCCACTACCCCTGATATTGCCAGTGCCTCCAACACTCCGACCACCCTCTTTCTCTTTCTCTTGGGCTGGGTGTTTTTTTATGCTAATGGTTTTTTTCTTATGCTCACAGCGGGGTTGGTGTGCTTTTGGGGTATGGGTTTCTTTTTTTATGCTTATAGTGCTTTTTTTTATGCTAATGGTTTTTTTCTGTTATGCTTGCAGTTCTTTCTTTTATGCTCCTGGTTTCTTTTTTTATGCTAATGGTTTCTTTTTTTATGCTAAGGGTTCTTTTTTTTTATGCGGCACTGTGGGAAGAGGTCACGTTGGGGGGTCCTAGTGCAGAATGTAATTGTCAGGAGGGTTTAGTGCAGAATGTAATTGTCGGGAGGCTTTAGTACAGAATGTAATTGTCGGGAGGTTTTAGTACAGAAAGTAATTTTCGAGAGGTTTTAGTACAGCAAGTAATTGTCGGGAGGTTTGAGTACAGAAAGTAATTGTCGGGAGGTTTTAGTACAGAAAGTAATTGTCGGGAGGTTTTAGTACAAAACGTAAAATTGTCGGGGGGCTTTAGTACCGAATGTAATCGTCGGGGAGTTTTAGTACAGAATTAAATGTCGGGGGCCTTTAGTATCGAATGTAAGCGTCGGGGTGTTACCGAATGGACAATTATTCATGAACGAACCGTTCAGTGAAAGGTGATGCGTTCGTCAGCAGAAACCGAAAAGTGATGAGTTCCAGTATCAACTGATATCAATTGTTTAAATGAACGGTAGAAATGTGGCCAAATGGGCTCCAGTCAGAAATCAGGGTCGCTTCGTGCGGTGTCTGTGTCGGTCCGTCCGGCATGGGTGGGCAGTGATCAAGCTCCTCTCTCGTTGGATCTCCTCGCTGGAGTTTTTTGGTTTCCGCCAGCAAAGAAGATTTCATCGGGGAAGAGTTTGCATGTCACCATCCAAGAAAAGACGCGACTTCCACAGAGCCTCTGCTCATGCCACGCGTCAGAATGCTTCCGATCGAAAACAGGGCCGTTCTTCTGCCAGCCGTTGTTCTTCCCGACGCAGAAGGGCTTTGTCGCTGGCATGGAGGGCAGATGGCCATTCCACCGTTCCATCAGACAAGGTTTGGTTGTTCTACCGTCTCGCCCTTGCCGCCAAAACTGGAACTGGAGTGTTGGGTGAATTTCTTTGCAATTCCTTGCCTGTGCAGCCGCCGGTCAGAACTCGGCAACGAGATGTTTTTCCCTTGGCCCTGCTTGGTGGTAGCATGCTGAAGCCTGTAGACATGACAAGTGGCAGGTGGAGCGTGCTCCTCCAATTCATCAACGTGGTCATTGGCATTCTGAACTGGTTGCACGGCATAAAGCAGACAGTGCCGACTGGCAAGCACACGTTCGCTCAACAAGCAGTTTTGAAAAACATCGTGGATCGCACAGTGTGGACACTCACACGCCTGCAACATGCGCAAGATGGCTGGGAGCGGTTTGTGCCAGATTTTGTGCCAGGTTTCACTGCAGGTACAACTTCTTTCCAAGACTTGGTTGCTGACAGGGTGGACAACTTGCAAGCGGCTGGCTTATGCGATCCTTTGCCCCACTTGCCAGCCCATGCGCGGGCCAGCTTGGCAACACCTGAAGGAATCCTTGACAACAGCGATGATTCTTTGCGTGTTTTTGAATCTTTCTCCTTAAGGGCCCGAAAGACGAATATGCAAAATTGGTTGTCAAGCAGCTGCGGTGTGGTAAGTTGAGTTTAGCAACTTTTTGCAAGGGTGGTGGTACCACCTTTGCTGTTGGGAAGCCTGGGGGTGAACGCCTGAGGGAGGTATGGCACGGCCGACGTGTTTCAGAATCAGCTTCTGCACCTCCAAAGCCGAGACAC